CTTGGATTCGACGATAGGGCTGCTGTTTGTCTAATTGGAGGCGGTCATGCACTAGGAAGGACTCATGCAAAGTATAGTGGCTGGGATGGAAAATGGACAGAAAATCCTCTTCAATTTTCAAATCAATTTTTTTTGGAGTTGTTAACTCATGAGTGGGACGAATGTATAGTTCCTGAAACAGGAATGAAACAGTTCTGCTATGAAAAGAAACGTTTAATGATGCTCAACACCGATATGGCATTACTCAGAGACCCATCATTTGCTAAGTGGGTCAAGATTTATGGGGAGGATGAGAAGTTGTTTTTTGATGAATTCAGTCAGGATTTTGCAAAGCTTCTAGAGCTGGGTGTTGATAGAGATAGCGATGGAATTGCCAGGAAAAAGTTCTAGGGACCTTTCAATTCTTCTGACTCTTGTAACGCCAATCCTTTTTATTATATTAAACTAAAATAACCCTCGTTACTCATCGTATATACTACTGTGCATGATATCTAAGTTGTCTGTTATGGAGCTTGGCAAATTGTCGGTGTCCAAAAGGCCAGACTGGGCTATGTTGTCAGCAATGTCATTTGTGTCATTATCGTTCAAAGTAGAAGGACCCCCTAAAAAGTCCATCATCATATGCATTCCTCCTCCTCCCGAATACTCATCAACATCTACTGGAAGAACCTTTGACACTCCTTCCAAAAACCAAACCTTATCCTTCATCTCGTCAGTGAAGTTTCTGAGAAGCGTGTAGTACGACCTCATTATTCTCATGGCAGATATATCTCCATTGATCAACAAAGTCAGGAAAGTTTTATCCAACAAAGCTGGAAAGGCAAAAACTCTCAGGATAAAGTCTGATTTGTATCGCTCATTGTGCAATTTGTTCAAGTAGGCAAGAGTGATAAGATAAGGTGAGGTATAAGTAACGGGGAAAAGGTCGGTTAGCTCTTCATCAAAGCACAACAACTGGGAATACTTCACATCATGTGGGTGGTTAGCCGCAGCATTGTCACCCATCAAATCGACGTCTCCCAGATCACTCAAATCAACGGATATAAATTTGTGAAATCGGGAACTTTCATTCAATGGCCAGACAGCTGTCAGTATAGTTGCAGCTCCCTTAACGTGGAAAATCCATGCCGAAGCTGGGAGTGATTTAGGAGACGTTGAAGTAGGTAACGATGCATTGGCCAGAGAGTCCATTATTAGTATTAAAGCAGATGCCACCAGGGCATCGGTATTTGCCGGTGAAATCTCAAGTACAGCCTCACGTAAGAGACGTAAAGCATCGCCTCTATGGCAGGTCACACACTGATCCAGTCCCTTTTCAGTCCGTGATAGGTGCGTAGCACTGAAGGCCAAAATTGAATGCATCAAAAACGGATAATTGAAAGCCAGCATAGGAATGTCTTCACACCAGATCTTGGCATCAGATATGCCAGCTGCTGTTATCGTATGCCATACTTTTGTTATGTAGTGATACATCAATCTTAGATCTAGCATGTTTAAATTTCCTGTGTACTGGTTGGACGGTGAATTGGCAGTGGCTCCAATAGGAGGTCCAGACGACAATGGTACTGTTATAGCTGGACTACCGTCACTCGTGCTGGAGCTGAGTCTTTTAGGTGGTGGACTCATATAAATACAGTCCAAGCCCAAGTGCTCACATTTGTTGCAGATGGGCTTATTTTCATCGCACTTGACTCGCCTTTTCTTGCAAGTCGTGCATCCCTTCCTACTTTTGTTATGGTATTTCCGCTTGCCCTTGGAGGATTTAAGCACCTTATTTGTTGTTAACTGCTCTGATCCAGGAATTTTTAGGTTAACCATGTATGGTCGTATAGACATACGAGAGTAAAAATATATGTAAGATCTCGTTTTCAGCCTTTTAAAGATTATTCGTGTATGCTTATGTAATAAGTGGGGGTTACTACATACCATATTCCCCTCTAGGTGTCTCTATCTACTACCTAAGCTAGTGATCATGGCCATGAGGATCCTCCTTAGCAGGCTCAGGATCCACAGTAATCATGGTATCAATTCTTAAAATAGCCACACAAGCCTCCAGAGCAGATTTCAAAGATTTCACTTTGGACACGGTGGGCTCCAGTACTCCGTGAAGAACTTGGTCGGTAACTTTTCCTTTGATCAAATCCAAACCATAGTTTTTGTAGTTTTTCTTCTTTAAATCCGTTGGCAATGCTTGCTGGGATGCTGCATGATAAGATCTTAACTTGGGTACAAGGTCGGAGGAGTCTTTGGCTGCATTAACAGCCAAAGTCTTGGGAATCACTAATAAGGCATTTGCAAACTCGGCAATGGCTAATTGCTCTCTTGAACCCACAGTAGTGGCAAAGTTCTCCAGATAGATATTCAACGCAGTCTCCACGGCTCCTCCTCCTGGAACAACATTACCTGATTCTAAGGTTCTCTTGACAACCGACAGGGAGTCATGAATGGATCTTTCCATCTCATCCAATGTGTATTCGTTTGGACCACGAAGAATGATAGAAGCGGCAGAATGGGTCTTTGTTCCCTTGACTAAGATGCACTCGTCATCAGAGATACGCTCTTGAACGACTTCGCTCGCGTTTCCTAGGTAAGAAGAGTCAAAAGTCTCTTCACCTTCGAGATCAGACATACTTGAAATGAACGTAGCACCTGTTGCTCTGCTTATTCTTCTCAGGTCTTCTTTCTTGCATCTTCTAACAGCCATAACGCCACTTTCAACAAACTTCTTCAAGCACAGGTCATCGATTCCCTTGGTGGTCAACACGACATTAGCACCTGCTTCGATAATCTTGTCAATTCTTTCCATGATGATTCCATACTCTCTTTTTCTGATCTCTTCCAATTGATCGGGATCGTCAATGTTGATTTGAACACCCATAGCCATACGGGCTTTTTGCAAGTTGATATCAATGCAAGCAATCTTGGCGTCCTTAACATATTTCACCATCGCCTGCGACGCTACGGTACAATTCAAAGCGTACCCGTTGATCAACATCGACTCGGTGGAAGACTTACCATGGGATTTTAGAATGTTAACAGCCTTGATGGGGTATTTAGTCTCGCCCTTGTTGTTAGTGGTCTTTACAGCCAACATGGCATCAACCACCATCTCACTGAAAAAAGCGGAATCGGATCCAATGATCTTACTACTCATTGAAGTGCTGGCTATGTTGACCAATATCTCCTTGGAGAACGAATCAATTGATTGACTCAACACTTCATTTATGTACCGAATAGTTTCCTTAAGAGCCAACCTGTATCCTGTGATTATAGTTGTTGGGTGTATCTTGTTCTTGACCAACTCGTTGGCTCTTTTAAGAAGTTCGCTGGCGATGATCACCACACTTGTGGTTCCGTCTCCAACCTCTCTATCTTGTTGTTGGGCAAGGTCTACAAGGATCTGACCAGCTGGATGCTTCACGTCTAGTAAATTTAAAATAGTGGCCCCGTCGTTCGTGACAACCACGTCTCCAATGTCGTCGACCAACATCTTGTCCAATCCAACTGGACCTAAACTGGATTTTACCACATTTGCTACCGCTTGGGTTGCTAGCACGTTTTGCTGACGAACATCGTCTCCGCTGACCTTTTGAGCTCCGAGGAACAGGGTATCTGAACGGGTACTGTCGAACATTATAGGTAGGTGAAAGAATAAAATTTTGCGAGGGCGAATTTTGATGGCGAAAGGAGAGCTGGGCGGAAAGGTTGAGAAGTTTGATAAGCTCCAGGAAGGCGCAGGAATACAATAACCCAGAATGGTGAAAAAATGCTACTTGACAGGCCGATTGTTACACCCGTCACTAGTTCAAGCTGGCTACACGGAAACCTATAATTTCTACTTTTGGAGCTTTTTCCAATCAAAAATGTCAGATTCACTAACTGATCTCCTCTAGTTTGGGAGCGTTTGATATCGCAGGCAAGAGGTTCCAGAATTATGGCGGAACGGGAGCACTCCACTGGATGCTTCTATTGTGTCCATTCAAGACTACCAGATGTCAACGTGGGTCTCGAGTCCTTTTTATAGGTGTACAAAGAAAAATGGCTCTAACTTATCAAACTGCATTGCTCCTCACCATGCTAATATACAACCTTATAAAATCAAACACTTCTTCGACTTTTTATACACAGGAGGCTCCAAAGCAGCCACAATAGCTTCATCGAAAACGTTTTTAAGACCACGCTGGGTCAAAGCAGAACATTCCACATACTTCACGGCATGGAGCTCCTTAGCTAACTTCTCCCCCTGCTCAGGAGTAATAGGTTTTGTATTCTGTTTCTGTAACTTTCTCAAAGTGGCTTTGTCATCTCTAAGATCTATCTGGGTACCGACTATGAGACACGGCACACCTGGACAGTGGTTTAAAACCTCAGGGAACCATTTCTCTTTGACGTTTTCAAACGAAGGAGGAGAGCAGACAGAGAAACAGATCAAGAACACATCAGAGTTTGGATAACTTAAAGGACGGAGACGGTCGTAATCCTCCTGACCGGCAGTGTCGAACAAACCCAAAGTGTAAGGCTCGTCTCCGATCATCACTGTTACAGCATAGTTATCAAACACCGTTGGCACATAATCTGGTGGAAATTTGTTCGTTGTATATGACATCAGTAAGCAAGTTTTTCCAACAGCACCATCACCTACCACTACACACTTGATTGTTTGCATCTTTATTTTGGTAACCTCAAGTTGGCGTGATTACTTAATGAGCTTCGCTTTAACCTCAGATTTGTTTATCGACGAAGAGAATTGGCTGCGTGATGCACGACTAGGAGGTTGTTTCTTGATTATGTAATAGTTTCGTTTAATTTTTTCTTTCGTTCCAGACGTGTTCCAGATATTCCACATTTTTTAGATGTTTCACATTGATTGAGGGGATAAGAAAAGGAATGTTGTTTCTGATGCGTCAATTTGTATTAATGTAGGCATATGATCATGTTGAGTGAAACGGTAAAAAATCTAGATTTCTGTGGTTTCCAAACAAATGGAAAAAAGTAAGCAATGCTTCTGGAGGGGTTCGAACCCACGACCATCGCGTTTCTAAACGACTGTGCTTTGAACATAGACGTGTTAAACGTTTATAAGCACGATGCGCTAAACCACTGCGCCACAGAAGCTCACTCATGCCATGTTTTTTATTGACTTGCTTATCCCTAAAAATGTTTTGCTTTTTTATAAAGCTTTTACAACAATCAAATGGATAGCCCCTATTTTACTAATTGTGCTGAGATAAAAGTTGATTGAATCATACAATTCTGAATTGACAGAATTATCAAAAAGAAATAATAAAAACATATTTATAGAATACTCTGAACTCTGCACAGAGACAACCAAGCACTACAACCAATCTTTTGAGTCTGTGAAAAACCAGGTAGAATATTATTATCTCTATAATTGTACTAATAAAGTCGTCTACAGTTTATTTAGAAGCGAACTTAGTCGTGATGTACTCATACAATTGGGGGAATATGATATCAGAGGTTTCCCCACGAATACTGTGCAGAATTCCTTTATCCTTGAAATACTCCTTGAGAGGATCGATCTCCTTGTGGTAGTTATCTAGACGTCTCTTAAAAACCTCTGCATTGTCATCAGGCCTCTTGGACAAAGCCTCTCCGGTGATATCATCCTTTCCAGGAACCTTTGGAGGATTGTATTGCAAATTGTAGATTCTTCCAGAAGGAATGTGAATGTACCGATTTTCAATTCTCTCAAGGATGACCTCTTCTGGAACATCTAGTTCAATGACACAGTTAATAGGAGCAGCTGTCAGTTTGTCGTCCAAGGCCACTGCCTGATTGTGAGTTCTGGGAAACCCATCAAGAAGCCAACTGCAATCCTGGCCCAGCCAATCTCTGGCTTGGAACTCCCTATAGATAAGAGCTATCATAAGATGATCGGGAACTAACCCTCCTCTTTGAATGATTTTAGAAGCCAAAACACCAAGAGATGACTTTTTGGAAATTTCCGTACGCAGAAGGTCTCCACTGCTGACAGGAGTGATTTGAATTTTTTCCAGTAATCTTGAGGTTTGAGTACCCTTACCTGATCCAGGAGCACCCAGAAGTAGCAATCTAAGGTTCTTAATCATTGAGTGATGCTACAACGAATGCCCGCAGATGATGACAGACTACCTGGGGTCGACCGCCTTTTATACGGCGCGCGGAGAAATCGATCTTGGTAAGACCGCACTGTCCCAATTGGATCGTGAGGAGGTTGTTGCAAACTCCTCAAATAATGCCGTCAGTAGATAGTTGAGCATGTTATCGATAGAGATCTGGCTAGTTAGTATTCTGATAAAAGCCCAATGGACTTCTCCATACCTACCAGATCAATCAAAAGCTGCCTGTACTGATACTTTACAAGGATACATCTAGACCCTATATAAATACAAAGATAACTAGCAGTTTTCGCCAAAATAAGACTACAGCCAAAGGTACTATCTTTCCTTATGGTTTCAATGAGAATATTTCATAATCAAACATCCTTGGATGATGAGCTGCTAATCAGGGCTCCAGCCATTGAATGGTCACTCTTAGTAGACTCCCCCAACTTGGAAGTACCTTTCTCCTTATAGGTACTCACAGCAGGGATATCAGCCTTGATCCTGGTAACCAAAGTCTCATAGGCTCTTGGCTCCAGCCTGATCAAAGTGTGTAAGGGAATGCTCATCCAAGGAGACTGTTGTTGAGGAACGTTCATGAAATATGCATAAATACACCTCAAAACTGCTTGATGCGTAATGATTAAGACGTTTTCCTGATTCTCCATCTCCATGATAATCGGCTCCAATCTTAGGATCACATCTCGGTACGATTCACCTCCCCTGTACCGATATTCAAACTTGTCTTCGTCTCTAGCCTTGAAATCATCTGGATACTTCTCAGCAATTTCTTCATATGTCATGCCGTCACAAACGCCCGCATCCAATTCATCCAACGCCTTCCATGTCTTCTTCGGATATGGAAGATACGATCCTGTTTGCTGAGTTCGCTTCAACGTAGAAGTCCATACCGTAAGTTTCTCATGGTTGGGAATGTATGTTTCCACAAGAGAAGGCAACTTCTTCGCATACTTCCAACCTCTTTCACTCAAATCTGCATCTCCTCCGATTTTCCCTTCAAGATTATATTGACTTTCTCCATGTCTGGACAACCAGATATATCTGGGCTTAATATGAAGATTCATCACGAAGAAAGCTATTCTACTCTCCAAATAGCTATCAATCTTGTTGATGATTATCTCTGTATTGACATTGATCAGCTTGACAAACGTCAGGTCGGAATCTCGTTCCACATCTATGCTTTCATAACTCTTTTCGTAAATACTGATTCTCTCTAGCACATCCTTTATAGCATAGTCTTCTTGGATAGACTTGTAATCGGGGGAAGTCTCTTGGATATCCTTGACATTCTTCCTAATAAGATCTTGGTCATCGCAATAACTCTCCAGGAAAATAGGCTCAATCTGGTTTTCCCTCATGATTTGAAGGACCTGCCTGCGTCTTTCGTTAGTGATGTTACTGGCATCAAGAATACCCACCACACCATCTCCGTTGTCGAACCATTCTAGCATATCCTTGATAGCTAGGTCTGTTGCCTGTCTTCTTATTAAAAGGCCCATTTCATTTTCGGGGTCAAAAAAGTCTGCGCTTGGATGAACGCTTTCTTTGCGCCTATAATTGCCCACGCTGAAACACTTGGTATTGATGCTTAACCAGCTTAGATATCGAACCAGTTTCTGGGCGATCAAGGACTTGCCCCTAGCAGGCAATCCGACCATCACTACGCAGACCCTTAAATTGTCAACTACGCTGTACACTGCCATTTTGGTTGCTTCTGATTTGTAGTTGGTCTTTGGATACTCGTTTCCCCAGATTGATTGTCCGGCCAGTTACATAAGGTCGTGTGACACACAAGCGAAAAAATAGTGGAGGTACCAGCTGTAGGGGCAAGGGAAGTGAAGTGTGCTGAAAAGTAGACGGAAGCTTAGGCGAAGTATCTGAAATCCATCATCGCTGGATTCATACTGGTCATTTAGTTAGGTATGAGGAAAGTGATATTTGAAAGAGAATTGGCGTTGTAATTTACCACTGAGGACTGCCACCTGGGGCTTCTAGTCAGAGCGTTTCTCCCAGCCGACAAGGAAAGAGAAGGTACTTTCAATTAACTATTCCACTTCATTGGTAGGCCAGACGGTGTACGTAGGTCCTTTCCCTAGCACAATAGCCAGTTCCTGTCAGGTCCTTCTAGGGATGGAGTTGGCTCTGATCCGAAAATTAAATGCCGCGCCTATCCGGTTACTAAAGGCTACAGAAAAAATATCCTTAGATAGTACTTTTCTACTAATCTAGACAATATGAACGGAAGAATTTTGTGTCTTCATGGTTTTGCCCAAAATGGGCCCAATTTTTCCGCAAAAGCTTCTGGAATTCGAAAAGCCCTGAAAAAGTTTGACATAGAAACTGTCTTTTTGAATGCACCCTTGCAATTGAAAGGTGCTGATCTTCCCTTTGATTCTGCATCGTTGGGTGCTGATAGCTCTGATTCTGCTGAAGCTCCAGATTTTAGAGGCTGGTGGTATACAGTTGATGATTTCGATATAGAACCTGCATTTGAGGCCGTCAGAGAATGTTGTAAAGAGAAAGGTCCCTTCACTGGAGTTCTAGGGTTCTCCCAAGGTGCAGGTCTTGCGGCTATATTAGCAAACAAGTTCTCTGAGATTGTGCCTGGTCACCCGGGACTGAGGTTTGGTATTTTCTATTCTGGGTTCAAAGTTAATAACCAGAAATATTGGAGTTACTACGAGCCCAAGATTAGTATTCCAACGTTGCACATTTTTGGAGAATTGGACACAGTTGTCAGTGAGGAGAGATCTCAGAGGCTAATAGATGAGTGCTGTGTTGCAGAGAATACCGTGACCCTCAAACACCCTGGTGGACACTACGTTCCCAACATCAAAGACCTTATCAATAAAGAGGTAGCCTGGGTTCTGAATGCGTTAGATCTTGATCCAGAAGAGATAAAAGCTAACAAGAATAACAAAGGGAAAGCCCAGAGCTCAACTGGAGAAAAGAGCAAGAGACAGCTGAAAAGAGAGCAAAAGGCTAAGCAGAAGGAGTCGGGCACTAGTACTCCTTCTCAGGAAACAGCGGAGGAAAAAACTGCGAGAGAGCTCGATGAGTTGAATGATGAGTTTGACAAGATCGGCAAGATATAAATATGTCGCTCTATGGAAGCTGCATAATTTTGCCTGCTGATAAATAGAAGAGCACATAGTATTTACGGGATAATTCCATTCTTCTTCTCGTGACCTTTTGACACTTCTTTTCTGCGTTGCCTAAGGCTGGAAAAATCCCTGCATCGTGTCGCGATTCTCTTATCTCAATTCCCGATCTGAAAAATTCGGCTGCATTTTCTTTTCCTGCCATTGCTCAATTAGTACTTCTCTTAGAAAGATCGAACAAATGTCTTACAGTGCTACTCTGGACTCCGAGTCTGCCATATCGATTTACAGGGCACCGAAAGCGACTTTCGCCAAAAGACTGGTCCAGATAGGATGCGCAATGCTCTGGTGTTTGCTAGCGGCTGGCCCCATATTCGGTTTTGCAGCGCTGAAACCAGTGCTTATTGACCAAGGCATCTACCATGAAAAATGTAAAGCCGAAGACCTTACGTTCGGGAAACTAGATGAGATGTTGCAAAGCACACTGTCCTCAAAGGGGGAGGATCCTTGTCCAGCTCAAGATTTGTCACTAAACTTCATGTTCACGCTTGCTGCTGTAGTTACTAATGCTGCTGCTTTGCTGGTAGGTCATGTCCTAGATACCTATGGTCCAAGAGTCACAGGAATAACTGGTGCTGTATTGATTGCACTAGCAAGTCTGCTGCTAAGAGACGGAGACAAACTACCCTTTGATGGATACCGCTACGGGTATTCTTTGCTTGCCTTGGGTGGACCGTTCGTGTTTATATCTTGTTTTCAGTTGGCAAACTCATTTCCCAGAAATTCTGGATTGGTTTTGGCATTACTGACTGGAGCATTTGATACTTCATCTGCTCTGTTTTTGTTTTACCGTCTCATTTACCAAAATGATATCATCAAGAATCTTACATTG